TTTCTTTTTCTTGTCTTAAAAATTACTTTTCTTCTAGTTAAAATAACACTGGGGAAATACTCAAGCTGGGTGCCAGTGGCTGTCACCTGTTATATAAGCCACACACACACACACACACACACACACACACACACACACACACACACATCCCACACCACACAAGCTACAGAATTAAATGGAGAATCTGAAAATACATGATGACTATTATCAGGACACAAAGCCACAACTTAAGGACTGACAAGTGTTTTAGTGTTCAGGTGTTTGGACCGGCTGCTGTGGTATGATTTTGCAGTATTTAATTCTAAGCCCTGCTTATTATTTGTCAGATATGAACACTTTACATTTTCTTCCACAACAAATAGCCTTTCTTTTTTTTGGGTCCAGTCGTGGGGCCTGAACTCTGGGCCTGGGCGCTGTCCCTCAGCTCTTCAGCTCAAGGCTAGCGCTCTACCACTTGAGCCACAGCTCCACTTCCAGCTTTTTTCTTTTTCTTTTTTCTTTTTTGCTTATGTGGTGCTGAGGAATCGAACCCAGGACCTCTGGCATGCAAGGCAAGTGCTCTACCACTGAGCCACCTTCCTAGCCCCAACAAATAGCCTTTTAAGAGATGCTTCTATTAATAGCTAAGAGGATTCAGAGATTTGCACTGAACCTTGTGCAAAGATACATACATTGAACAGGAGAATCGTCACTCTGAGAAAATGAAATTACCTGATTGTAGAAACTAATACTTAGGAAAGTCATCTGAGGAAACGTTGCATTTAGAAATAGCGTCCCTTAGATCCTTCATATTCACATGTTCCTGTACTTGTTAATCACTTTTTCTTTAGCAATTTCTATAGAAACTAGCCTAGAATATTTCTTTCATTATCATATGGAATACAATGTTAACATCAAAGAAAAAACATCTAGGAGCCTATTCAATAGCTATAAAAATCTATATCTAAATTTTCTGCTTTTTAAAACACTATCTATTAAAAGAAACAAAAAATGGTGGCTGGGAGTATAGGTCTCAAAAACAAAAACAAAAAAATCATAAAGGAAAACTGTTTAGGGTGGAGGAAACTAGATAAAGGATTGAAATCAAGTTTCTAGTTTTTTAAAATACTTTTTTATTGCAAAATTACTGTACAGAGGGGTTATAGTTACATGAGCAAGGTCATGAGTACATTTCCTATCAAGGATTGTTACCTCTTCCTTTGTTTTTCCCCCTACAATCCCTTCCCTCCCACCTCCACAACTACCCCCGCCTCAGCCAAATTGTAAAGTTCATTTTTCAACATAGTGTCTTGTACATCTTATTGTTACAATGGGTCAACCTGTATCCTTATTTAAGCGTTTTGTTTTTTATACCATGGGGGAGGAACATACAAAGAAACAAAAAACTCAAATGGTACATTATAAATACATTAGAAAGCAAGAAAAAAAAAAAACACTTGCGTCCCTATCTTGGGGTTCATTTCGCTTAACATCATCTTAGCTGGTCATATGTACATAGCTTTTGACCTTATCTGCTTGTCCCAGACATATACTAGTTATTGCAAATAAGGAAAACCATGGGACCTATGTTTCTTTGGGCCTGGCTTACAGCCAGCTTTATACTTAATGGTGAAAAACTAAAGCCATTTCCTCTAAATGTCCACTCTCTCCACTTTTCTTCAATTTAGTATTCGTTTTTCTTATAGGTTGGTTCAAAAGCATTCTGAAATATGCCACACTAAAATTGCTTGTATCCTTATCTTTTCTTCCAGATGAACATTGTTCTTTTCCAGAAAGGACACAGATGAAAATCACCTTACCTTGACATCAGACATGGCATGGGAGTCCCCTTGGCTTTCTGTGGCTTGGTGAATGATAGTATTGCATCTTTCTATCCCCAATGGGGACAGAAATTGTGTCCATGTGGAGGATCTGGAGAGGTGTTCCTGGAGGCACTCTTGGTTGTCTTGGGAAAGGCTGCGCATATTTTTATAGCAAAGTCTCCAAGTGAATACTGTGGCCTGGTTTCCCTAACACTACTACAGGACTCGCTGTTTCTGTTTTTGCTCATGCTGAGCCATCTCTGAGTCTGCTGGGCCCATCCCTGCAAAGACATACTATTTAAAGCACAAGGATTACCAATTTTGTGGATCAGAAGCTTATCCACAGTTCTTAGTGTTCTATTTCAGACTGCTAAGGATAAATGTGGAAGTATGTTAATACTGCCCTCTATAGGTAGAAATGTATTCCTCATTCAAATGTAAAAACATGGAAAAATGATAGGCTGGCATCCTAATCCTGGACTTCCAGTCTCTAGATCTATGAGAAAAGCATGAATGAACAGAGGACATCATCACTGGTTATATTGAGGGGGTCCTACCTATGTGGCAACACTGCTGCTTATTGCGTCCTTCTATTTCTGCCTTAAGGCTTTGCATCTCTGAGGAGAGGGCCTGATGAAGGCTTGTGCCCATCTGTGGCCAAGTGGTACAGGAAGAATGGCATGAGATTAGGCCTCATTGCCAGGAAACGTGCTCTAGATTTTGCTTGCCCCAAAGTAAATCATTGCATCTTAAAACTGAGCACATTTGCAAGTGGCTCAAATGTGGAACAAAGGAAGAGGTCATATACAGCAGCTGACAATTCTTCCTTTTTCCCCCTAGAATAATTTTCACATGTTCCTTGGTTTGCCTGCTGTGCTCAGGACTTGTACAGATTGTAGCCCTTTAATGGAGTCCTGTGACACGTCCTCCTCCTTCAGCAGCATTGGTCTTTTCTCCAAGACTAGCCTTAGAAGTGTCTGTTATTGTACTTACTGAAATTATCTATCTCTGTGCTTGACTGAAATGAGTACTTTTAAAGAAATCTTTAAGGAAATAGGACTGACTGACAAATTTGAAGCACTTCATAAAGGTATTACCAACATGAAGAGGAGAGGGACTGGCATGCTTACTCGTGCATATTGTACATTTATGGGGGTTATAGTCTCTCTATCTGTGCTGAGCATTAATATTTTGTTCTGGTGGTATGGTTAAATAGCTTTGTATTGTGTAATTATCAGGCTGCCTTTATAAAATACCATGGCTGGGTGGGTGACTTTACTAACAGAAATGTATTTGCTTGTGGTTCTTGAGGCTGGAAGTCTGAGATCAGGGAGCCAGTGTGGGTAGATTCTGTAGGGACTCTGTGGCTTGTAGAGACTGCTTTATAGATACAATACTGAATGTGTCACCCTGCCTCTAGTAATACGTTGGAGCCTAATCCCCAGTGTGATGGTATTAGGATGTGGTGCAGTGGGAGGAGATTAGTTAGAGGTTATAAAGCTGCAAACCAATGCTTATAAATACAAGATTATTTATTTATCACCCACTCTTTTTTTTGGGGGGGGTCTGGTCGTGGGGCCTGAACTCTGGGCCTGGGCACTGTCCCTCAGCTCTTCAAGTGGCTACCACTTGAGCCACAGTGCCACTTCCAGCTTTTTTCTTTTTGTTTATGTGGTGCTGAGGAATCGAACCCAGGGCCTCAGGCATGCAAGGCAAACGCTCTACCACTGAGCCACCTTCCCAGCCCCGGTCACCCATTCCTTTTAAGAAACAGTTATAAGTCACTACATAAACTGCTCTTGGTTAACTTATATGTCTATCAACAAAATAATTATGGAATGTCAACTGTGGTGGTACACATCTGTAATCTCAGCATTTATGAGACATATGCAGCAGGGTATCAAGTATGAGACCAGGCTGGACTACATCCCTGCATAGTTTCTATAAAGTTAATTAAAAGAACATCTTATTGAAAGCAAATAGAACCTCAATGGCTCTTACTAGTGATTCTTCATCATTTCTGTCTGCTTAGTCTATCAATGAGGAAGTGCTTGTGTTTGGCACCTATCTCCTAAGCATACGGGCTTTTTCAGTTAAGACAATGGCAAGGAGATTCATTAGGAATTTGGATTTAATTGATGACATTTTTGAATGGTTGATTCAAATTGAAGATGGCCCTAATCCATTAACATACCTATTCTGTGAGATAATATTTTTTCATTATTTTACCACTTTGCACTACATTAGCAGCTACCTGCAATCTAATATTCTAATATGTCTTGGTCCACATATATATTTAGGTATATGCACATTTATATATGTATTTTTTTTTGTCGGTTGTGGGGCCTGAACTCTGGGCCTGAGCACTGTCCCTCAGCTCTTCAGCTAAAGACTAGCACTCTATCACTTGAGCCACAGTGCCACTTATGGCTTTTTCTGCTTATGGTGCTGAGGAATAAAACTCAGGGCCTCATGCAAGCAAGGCAAGCACTCTACCACTGAGCCACCTTCCCAGCCCTATATATGTATTCTTATATGTATATACATATCTCTCTATATCCATGCAAAGGATTGGTTCTTGGAAACCCTTACACACACAAAATCTAAATATACTGAAGTCTATGCATAAAATGGCTAGTACTTGCATATAAGTTAGTGTATCTTCCCACAAATTTTAGATCATTTCTGTATTACTAATAATATTTAATATAAATGGTATTAAAATAGTTATTATACTATGCTGCTCAGGAGATTATGACAAGATAAAACAGGATACATGTATAGATATGCATGTATAGATACAGTCTTTTAAAAATGAATATTGATCTGAAGTTGATTAAATCCATGGAACTAGAACCCATGGATATGAAGGATCAACTGTATACATATATGCATGATATATTATAAACATGCATGCATTATGATACATGTCTTCTGGGACCATGAATATAGTACCTTTAAGAGTCATTTAAAAATTTATATTTTCTATGGTACTGGGGATTGAACTCAGGCCTTCATGTGTAATGGCCAGACTCTCTACCATTTGAGCCATGTCCAAGTCCTTTTGCTTTAAGTTTCATCTTCAGATAGAGTCTGGTAACTTTTACCAGGCTAGCCTTGGACCATAATCCTCCCACCTTCATCTCCCAAGTTGCTGGAATGCTGCCACACGTGGCCCTTCAGAGTCAGTACTGGAAAGTGAATGTGTACAAAACGTTAGTCTGTTGGTAGCTAGGTCCTTGCTCCAGCTGCTCATTGTAGACCAATTGAGTAGGTAGTATTATTTATTTTAATTTATCAATTTCATAAACATATTTGTAAGCAATTTAAAAACCTTCATAGTCTATATTGTAAACATACATAGCAAATATTTTTAAAAGAAAAACCTTGAGGTTAATATCTGAACGTTGACTAGAGATATAAGATCTATGGCTGGGCATCCAAGGCTCACACCTGTAATCCTAACTACTCAGGAGGCTGAGATTGAGGATCATCATGGTTCAACACCAGTCCAGGCAGAAGAGTCTTATCTTCAATGAACCACCATAAAAGCTGTAGCTGTGGTGGTGGAGTGCTAGCCTTAGCAAACAAACCTCAGAGACAGCTGTGTTCAAGCCCCAGGACATGTCCAGCCTGAAATCTTCAACCTGTGTCAGCAGAGAAGGAAAACATTATTGCCACTGTGTTCAGCAGAGAGAGGTTCTTGAACTAGCCCCAGCCAAGGCAGCATTCTGTGTAGAATCAGATTCTGTGGAGAATCACAGATGCTCTCTGGCTTTCCTGAGCTCAGTTTTCAATGTGCTCCAGGTGAGTTCTAGAGGCAGTTGTGTCAGTTTCCCTGATCATTTCTTTCTTGCCTTCTTTTCCCTTTTATTTTGGCTCATGAAGTTACACCTTGTCTTGTGGCATGAAAAGCTTATCACTGAACTATCATGTACAACAGAGATCTTCCATCTGCCCCTCCTTCCCAGGAGGAATCGTTCTCATTCCTCAGAGGCTAGCACACTTTCTGACTCATAGGTGATATTATTTAATAAGAGATTGAAAAATGAGAGGTTGGTATTTTCTTCCCCCAAGTGTATCCACTTGGAGGAATGAGACTATAGCTTATTTGACATTGTATTCTCAGTGCCTAATACATTTTGATACACAGAAAAAAATCTAATTGTGGATTGAATAAATGGACAACTATGTACCTGACAAGCTCTGACAGCAATTTAAGAGCATAGAAAAGTGCTTAAGGTTTAGACTATGTAGCAATTGAATGGCACAGAGATATGTCTTATTGATAGCTCATGGGTGGGGCCTGAGTATGTTCCTGGAGTGAGGAGAGAGGCAAGTATGGGGAGGACACATCCCAGAGGCCATCTGCCTAACAGAAGCACCAGGGACAGTGGGATTGGAGCACTAGGGAGGCAGTAAATGACCAGCCTTCCAGGATGTTGGACTTAAATTGCAGAGAACAATGCATGCTGGCCAAAGGAGTCTGAGTGTTGTTCTTCAGGCAATAGGGAGTCAGCCTATGATTTGAGCAGTGTATGTGTCTTATTCTCCTCTTTTAAAACAACCATTTCTAAACTCAACAACATTCTTGATGATCCTACCTACAAATGCAGTCATATTCTTTGATAGAAAGTATTAGAACTTTTTTATTGAGAGGGAACAATTCTGCTCCTAATAATATCTGTGTATGTCAATTTTATTGTTATGCCATTGATTTAAATTGATTTGGGAGATTTATTTTTTATTTATTGGAAAAGTCTTGCCATGTAGCCCAGGCTGACATCCTGGAACTTGAGATTCTGCTTCAGCCTCTTAAGTGCTGAGACTATTGTGAAGTTTTCAATGTAAAAGCAAGATAAATATTTCTCTTTTTAGTTTCTTTTTTCATTTGTATGCATGCTTTGATATTGTTATTTTGATATATTGATATTTGATTTAAAATAATTTATGACTCAATATTTTTTACCACTACTTTTTAATCTTACAATTCAAAAAGGTAACGTAAATAAACTACCTATTAAAATAACAGTCTGCACTCTTATTGTAAGTTAATGATATTTTATGATCAAAATGTTGAATTCCTTGATTTTCATCAACTTTAATTGTTAGTTCATCAAAATATGATAAAAATTACTCATGGTACTTTTGCCTTTTTGGAGTTTATTGTTTTCTCTCCTGTAGCCAATAATAGATGTTCATAACATACAACAGTTAGAATAAATAATTCCTAGATCTACCAACAATACTAGATTAGTAAAATGGCATGATTTGGTTTTTATGGTATCTGAAGGTATAGTACCTAAAAAAACACTTTATTCTTTGGTGCCAGTCCTGGGGCTTGAACTCTGGGCCTGGGCCCTGTCCCTCAGCCTTTTTGTTCAAGGCTAGAGGGCCCTGTCCCTCAGCCTTTTTGTTCAAGGCTAGATCCCTACTACTTGAGCCACAGCGCCACTTCCAGTTTTCTGGTGGTTAATTGGAGATAAGAGTCTTACTAACTTTCCTTCCCAGGAAGAATTTAAATTGCAATCCTCAGATCTCAGTCTCTTGAATTACAGGTGGAATAAAACATTAGCAAAGTTGAAGACACTACAAAACACAAAGACAAAAGTACAGACATAAAAAAAGAAATAGAAAGAAATAGAGCATCATTGAGCTATGGTATGACTTAAAGGGTTTAATGTACATGTACCTAGTCCCATGGAGTGGTTTAGACTCTGATCTTCAGATCTCAGCAAAAATTGCTGTGATTACAGGCATTAGCCCCTGGCACCTGGCTGCAATAGTTTTTCTGTTTTAAAATATGACCTCAATATTTTTAGTACAGCTATATTGATTATATTATGAATCCCCCTGGGTGATTTTTTAAAAATATATTTTATTGTAACAGTGATGTACAGAAGGATTAAAGTTACATAAATCAGATGAGTACATTTCTTTTTTTGGGTCCGGTCGTGGGGCCTGAACTCTGGGCCTGGGTGCTGTCCCTCAGCTCTTCAGCTCAAGGCTAGCGCTCTACCACGAGCCACAGCACCACTTCCAGCTTTTTTTTCTGCTTATGTGGTGCTGAGGAATCGAACCCAGGGCCTCATGCATGCAAGGCAAGCGCTCTACCACTGAGCCACCTTCCCAGACCCTTACATTTCTTTTTGAACAGTGACACTCCTCCCTCATTTTCTCCCAGTTTTTCCCCTCTCAACCCTTCCCTCTTGTCGAGTTGTATAGTTCATTCCAACACAGTGTCTAATGAGTATCACTGCTGAATTGGTTCACCTTTTATCCCACCACTTCTGTGCTTCCCCTTCCCCTCCCCAAATCAGATAAACTCATACACAAGAAAAAGGGTACAGAAATCAAAAAGTGACGAAAGGGAATAAACCGAAGAAAAAAGAAAAAAAAAAGAACTGAAAACATACAATAAAAAGCCTTGTTTCAATTTCTTTCTTTCTTTTTTTGGTTGGTTGTGGGGCTCAAACTCTGGGCCTGGTGCTATCCTTGAGCTTTTCAGCTCAAGGCTAGTGCTCTACCACTTGAGCCACAGCACCATTTCTGGCTTTTTCCATTTATGTGGTGCTGAGGAATCAAACCCAGGGCCTCATGCATGCAAGGTAAGCACTCTACCACTGAGCCACCTTCCCAGCCCCTTGTTTCAATTTCTGGAAGTTCATTTTGATCAACATCATTTTATCTGATGATATGTACACAGCTATTGAGTCCTTGTGATCCTCTCCCATTATACAAATTAGGTTTAATTAGATAGCTGATAAAGAGAACACCATGTGCCCGGTACCAGTGGCTCACACCTGTAATCCTAGCTACTCAGGAGGCTGAGATCTGAGGATTGTGGTTCAAAGCCAACCCGGGCAAGAAAAATCCATGATGCTCTTATCTCCAATTAACAACCAGAAAACCGGAAGTGGCACTGTAGCTCAAATGGTAGAGTGCTCACCCTGAGCTGAAGAGTTGCAGGAACAGTGCCCAAGCCCAGAGTTCAAGCTGAGAGAGAGAGGGAGAGAGAGGGGGGGTGGGGAGGGAGAAGGAGGGAGAGGAGAGGGAGGGAGGGAGAGAGAAAGGGAGGGAGGGAGGGAGGGAGGGAGGGAAGGAGGGAAGGAGGGAGGAAGAGAGAGAAGGAGAGAGAGAGAAAGATAGGGAGAAAGAGGGAGAGAGAGAAGGAGAGAGAGAGAGAGAGAGAGAGAGAACGAACACTATGCAGTATTCAGGCAGGAAGAGAAGTTTATTTTAGCGAAGTTCTGCTCCACCGTGCATGGTGGAGAGGCATGGCTGAAGAGGGGAGCTGAGGTCCCAGCTGGGTTGAAGTAGGGAAGGGGAAAGGAGAGGTGTAGTCAGGTGAGGGAAGGTGTTTCCACACTGGGTCTGATGGGAGGCTTGACCAGGGTGGCCCAGGATGTGACCTTGGAAGCAAGGTGACTGCCTCCAGGTGTGCCAGTTACCTAGGTAACACAGGTACTGGCAGCAACTTAGCCAAGAGGTGGGGAGGCCAGGGCCCGCATGGGGGAGGGGGTAGAGGGGCAGACATACTATGAATATCCTCTTTTGATCTCACTGTGTGAATAGAGTGATGTTTAATTAATCATGTCTAAGTGTAATTATTTATCTTTTACTATCCATTGGCTTTACTTAAAGGTTTTCAGGCACATTCTAATAATTACAAAGCAGCCTGTTTCTGTTGGTCTGGCTTACTTTGTTTAATATAATTTTTCCACAACTTTCCATTTCCTTATGAATGGGGCAATGCCATTCTTTCTGATGGAAGCATAGAATTCCATTGAGTATATATATCTCACATTTCCTTGATCCATTCTTCCACTGAGGGGCATCAGGGTTGATTCCATAGCTTAGCTAAGGTAAGCAATACAGCAATAAACATGGTTGTGCTGGTGGCCTCAGTGTGGCTGGTTTGTGGTCATTTGGATAAATGCCCAGGAGTGGGATTGCTGGGTCATAAGGGAGCTCAATGTTTAGTATTTTGAAGAGTCTCCAAACTGATTTCCAGAGTGGTTGAACAAGTTTACATTCCCACCAACAGTACAGTAGTGTTCACTTCTGTTCTTGATAATGGCCATTCTAACTGGGGTGGGTTGAATCTCCGTGTTATTTTGATTTACATTTCTTTTATGGCCAGAGATGTTGAACATGTCTTCCCCATGGGTGTGTTTTAAACAAAATATTATTATGTGTCTAACTCACCAATACTGCAGTTGGTGCTGAGGCCCCAGGAGTGAAAAAACTTGGGCTCAAGACATAGATGTCAGTTAAAATATAATAAGCTGAGTTAAATTAGAATTTTAGAGAAATAATTTCTTAGTGGGAGTAAAGCTATTGCATGAAATGTATTATTTGCTGTATCTCCATTGTACGAGGTAACTCTGGTGATTTCTCAGCCTCAGTTTCCAATTTAAAATCGCAGCAAGAATGGCTGCTTCATTGAGCCATTAGATCTAAATGAAAAATCAAACCACAAGGTGACAAATCAGCATGGGGGCATGGCTGAGCGGCAAAGCACCCCAGGGTTCAATTTTCAGTACAGAAAGAACAAAACGATTTAAAAATGCACTAGGACAAACGTTCCAGTTAATGATGGGTTCGAGTTCAGCGGGACCCCGGTGGCTCAGGCCTGTAATCCCAGCTACTCAGGAGGCTGAGATCTGAGTGTCCTGGTTCGAAGCCAAGCGGGGCTGGGCATGCCCCAAGTTCAAGTCCCGGTACACACACAGGCCTTGGGGGGGGTAACTTCCGTTGTTCCGGTTCAGTGCGGTCCCCAGAGAGGCGCTGCGCCTGGGGCTCGGGCTGGCTCTCTGCGCGCGCGCGCTTCCGCACTGACGTCGCGGTCTCGGGGAAGTCACGCTCGCCCCCCCCCCGCCCCGCCAGGCTCTGCTTTGGATCCTTCCGGCTTCCGCCTTCCAGGACGGTCACGTGGCCCTCATTCACGTGACCGGCGCCCCTGTCATCCTGCGGCGGCTGCGGCTTCTTCCTACCTGTGCTGCCCTCAACGTCTCCGCGGTTCACGGTGGCCTCCCCGCTCCTTCCTTGACTTTCCGCCGCTGCCCCAGGCTCTGGACCGGGCCGGAGACGCCGGTGTCCCAGCCCCGCTGTAGTCCCGACGGCCCGGACCGCCGCCCCCTCGCCCGCGTCCTTCGGGTGCGTCGTCGGGTCCCCTGGGGTCGGTAGGTCAGACGGTCCGCGGGTAATTTGGCCTCGGGCACCTGTCCAGGTGAGGTCACCCCGTCGGGTTCTCTGCTCTCCGGAGGCGTGCCGGTCCCTAGCCGCTTGACCCCTTCCGTCCTTGGCCGGCCCCAAGCGGTCAGATTTTTCTTCCAGGCCTCAGCCAGGTCTGCAAAACGGGAGGGCTGGAGGGGGTGGTGGGGCGGGGGGAGGGTCGCCGTGATGGGCTCAGGGCCTCGCCTGTTAAAGGCACCAGGCATGAGGTGCCCTGGGCCTCCCCAGGAAGGCCGCTGCTTGGTTCCATAGTTCTAGCTGGGCCCGGACCCAACCTGTTTATTCCAGGGCTCCAGCCGCTTGCACTGCTTGTTTAGGCAGCAAATCCCAGGTACAGAGATTAAGTTCCAAATACACTAGTCATTGTGAACCCGGAATGGAATTTGGGGTATGATTTTCGTTTCTTTGAGGTTGAGGACCAAAAGTTCTATTTAGCAAATGGAAACCTATGTTTTGTGTCATGATAAAATCAGGTCTAAACTTGTTTGCAAGTTTAAGGGTGAGAATTACTTAGAAGCTCATTATTATTGTAGGTTTTTCTCATCAGACTAAATTACCATTGTTGGTTCTATCTACATTGTAATAGATTTTTAGTTTCAGAAATTTCTCCCCAAATTGAAACACATTGCATTTGAAAAGGGAAGAATCATTTTCTGAGAATTTACTTCCCCACCTTGTATATCTTATGTATAATGAATAATTTTAGAAACAAATGATGGCTTCTAATGGGTTACTCCAAACAATGCTTAGTGAATGTTGATTAAGTACATGCAATACATGGCCTTATCTGTATTATACAGATTTTTTTATTTTTTCTTTGTCAGAAGAGGAAAATTGAACTCAGTCATAAATTTAAAATAATGTTTTTAGCATATGAAGAGCCTTGAATCCAATCCTTAGCACCAAAAGAAAACTTTACTTTTTTTTTTTCTCACTGTTCTATTCAGTCATGGTTTCTGATATCAGTTTCATAGCTGATAATTTAAAAAGTCTCAATGTAATTATTAATGCTAATAAACTGTCCTGTAAAAGAAAAAGCCTATAGAGAACCATTTTATGGAGAAGCGTATAAGATTTGAGAGGTACGAATGTTTTTAGGTAAGATATTTAACATTTTAGTTGAGTTCCTGGGAGAGACTAAACAATGATGATGAATAGTGGGAGTTTTGAAAAAAAAATAATTCCTATTTTTACTTTGCACCTAAATTGACCATCTGCTGAAAACATTCAAGATCATAAAGTGTTGATGACCAAAATGGATATTCGAGGTGCTGTGGATGCTGCTGTCCCTACCAATATCATTGCAGCCAAGGCTGCAGAAGTTCGTGCCAACAAAGTGAACTGGCAGTCATATCTTCAGTAAGTACTAATTTGTGATCATCATGTGCTTTTGCATCAGACTTTTTCATGGTCACGCTTATCTGAGGGAAAAAGTGAAATACATGCTAATAAATGTGGAAGAAGCATTTCCTCCTTCAGATGATTAGCCATCTTAGGGACAGATCCTAGTGTGATGAAAATAAACTAAGGTCTCTAATGGGGAAGAGTTGCTCACAGTGTATTTTTTAAAAAATGTTCTTGGACAGTCCTTTTGGAAAGTCCTTTTGAATGAGTGGGAAGCATGGAAGGAATGTTCATTGCCTATGGAGGGAGGAAGAGGACCTGTGTGGCAGACCAGTGGGCCCTGGTGATCACAGTTGGGAGAAATGATTGCTAACACAAAGTGTAGATGTTTTTGAAGTTCTCCCCTTCTCCTATGCAAGGCTTCTTACTTGTTGGCCAGTGAGCTTAACCACTTAACTCATACCCTGAACTCTTAAGTTTTGAAGTCTGGATTACTGTGGTTCTTTTCAGTAGCTTGGTGATCTTCAGTTAATCACTTAGTTTCTTTGAGGTTCATTAAAGTGTGAAATGAGGATCTATATTCTACAGGCTTATGTTGAAATAGTATGTTTAAAGTATTTATATATTTTTCTTTATTAAAAAATACTGTACAGAGGGGTTACAGATACATGAGTAGGGTAATGAGTACATTTCCTATCGAGCATTGTTACTAGTATGTTAAAGTATTATCATAGTTGAGTACAAAGCATTAATGTGTTTGTTTCTTCCCCTTTTCTCTTGTGTGTATTGAGATTTACTGTACTGATATTTCAGTATTATGTATTTATTTGTAAAGTAAGCACTTAATCATATTTTATCATGTTAACTTTAGTTTCTATGTGATTATTTTAACGTATTTGTAACTGGAAATTCAGTTTAGGTTTGTGTATACATTTTGAAAAAACAAATTTAGGGCTGGGATGTAGCTCAGTGGCAAAGCGCTTGCCTAGCAAGTGTAACGTCCTGGGTTCGATCCCCAGTACCAAAAAAGAAAAGACAAAAAAAATACAGTTAAAAAAAACCAAACAAAGAAAAAACAAATTTAGAGTTTTTTTTTTTTTTTTTGGGTCCGGTCATGGGCCCTGAACTCTGGGCCTGGGCACTGTCCCTCAGCTCTTCAGCTCAAGGCTAGAGCTCTACCACTTGAGCCACAGCGCCACTTCTGGCTTTTTTGTTTATGTGGTGCTGAGGAATCGAACCCAGGGCCTCAGGCATGCAAGGCAAGCGCTCTACCACTGAACCACCTTTCCAGCCCCAAATTTAGAGATTTTTAAAAAATATTTTGAACAGTTTATTTTGTAGTAGGAAGAATATGATTCTTCTATAATTTTGTCACCTATCAATGATTTGGGGGCATTTTTTCTAGTCTTTGTGGCTATAACAAGAATATACAGTAGCATCCTGAAAGTAACTCATATGTTATAAACACTTCATCTTACTTTAGTGTTTTAACTGTGATACTAGAAATAGATCCAGGAGCTGATGTACACAGAGAGGACTGGAAAGTCTACCCTTAGAAGTTTTTTGAAGGGAACAGTCCCTGAGTAGGGCTTTCAAGCATGAGTAGCATTTGGCTAAGAATGGTCTTTCAAGTAGAGCAGCCTTTGCCTGAATAAAGACAGGAAGGAGACAGTATGGTATAGTGGGTAGAAGTCATTCATGTTTTGCAGGTACCCAGTATAGAGAGCTGTGAGACATAGCTTATGAGACATAGCTTATTGTGAAGGTTCTGGGTGCCCTTGGGTGAAGTGTGGACTTAATCCTTCCAGTCAGTGCTTTTATTATATGTGTGTGTTCTAGTCCTGGGGCTTAAACTCTGTCTGGCCTGGGTGCTGTCTTTGAGCTGTTTTGCTCATACCAAGTGCTTTACCACTTGTGCTACAGATTCACTTCCAGCTATTTGGTGATTACTTGGAGATTAGAGTCTTACAGACTTTCCTGCCTGGGCTGGTTTTGAACTGGGATCCTCAGATCTCAGGCTGAGTATCTAGGATTACATGTGTGAGTGAGCAGCACCCAGATAAGTCAGTTATTTTATTTTATTTTATTTTTATTTTTGGGTTCGGTCGTGGGGCCTGAACTCTGGGCCTGGGCGCTGTCCCTCAGCTCTTCAGCTCAAGTCTAGTGCTCTACCAGTTGAGCCACAGTGCCACTTCCAGCTTTTTTCTTTTTGCTTATGTGGTGCTGGGGAATCGAACCCAGGGCCTCATGCATGTAAGGCAAGCGCTCTACCACTGAGCCACCTTCCCAGCCCCTAGTCAGTTATTTTAAAAGTGATTTTATAGCCACGAAACTAATGATTGATTTGATGTCTAATAAGGAAGCTCAGTATGTAAAACAGATGAAAATGATAGTCGAATGGGGGTGAGTTATATGTGCCTCAGAGGCTTTTTTTTAATAAGGCCATTCACAATCCTAATTAGGGTTCAAGGTTCAAGTTTAAAAATCACTTCTGGGGTGGGGTATGTAGCTCAGTAATACAGCATTTGCCTAGTTCAAATGAGACCCTGGTACCACAAGCTCCCCAGCACCATAATAAAAACAAAAAAAACAGCCCTAAAAATAGGTGTTGTAGCTGTTGAAATTCTTAGTTTGGAGTGAGACTGTTAGATTTGCTTCTTGGTTTGATTATTTTGTGGATTGTATTATGGGTGGACTTGGGAGTAACAAGTTTATATATGGAGAAGTAGCTGTAGTAGGTAAGATTGTTAGTTTGGACAGAATTGGATAGATTTGAGACAGTGTTAGTGATTAATGTATGGGCCTGAAAGAAGTCTAGGATGATTTTTAGATTCCTGCTTTTGAGGAACAGGCTTATTGTGGGGCCAGTGACTGAAGGAGAGGAGTTGGAGGAGAGGGAGGGTGGGGTCAGTTACTGGAGGAGGAGGAGGAGGAGGAGGAGGAAGAAGAGGAAGGTTTACTGAGGTTTACCTTGTTCCTTGTATCTTGCCATTGTATAAGTCCCCTGTAAAATTAGGATTCTGAGTTCTGTTTTGTAATTTCTTTGGTCAAAAGTATGTTTAGATTAAAAATGAGTTCCATGTTTATAAAGCCTGAATTTGTTTATAATGTAAATAGAATAATATTGTTGCTCATAAAGCGCTAACAGGAAGCTTTGGTATTTGGAATGTTTTTAGTGATAAGGTGGTTTTCAGTTGCTTTCTCTTCTGTTTTTCCTGTGCTTGGAATTTGGAAGAACAGATGGGTACTATGTAAATTGTATTCTCCCTTCTTTCATAGTTTTGCCCTTTATTCTTTTACCCATTTCATATCTTCCTTTCCTTTCCCTTTTGCTTCCTTTCAGCTTTTCTTTTTTGTGCTGGTACTAGGGCTTGAACTCAAAACCTGGACATTGTCCCTGAGCTTTTTTGCTCAAGACTAGCACTCTACCACTTGATCCACTTCCAGGATTTTGGTGGTTCATTGGAGATAAGAGTCTTATGGACTTTTCTGCCTAGACTGGCCTGAAACATTGATCCTCAAAGCTCAGGCTGAGTAGCTAGGATTATAGGCAAGAGCCACTGGCACCCAACTCCACACATTTCTTTAAAAAAACCCTCTCCTCTGTGTCTAAATGAGTAGCATCGTGGTATTCTTGCTAGGCCTAGGAAATGTTGTGGGAAGAAAGTTATGTTAACACCAGTGAATATAATGGTAAATTGTGTTTGGCTCATACATCACTTAGTGAGTAACCAGTGAAGAGTGGAAATCAGTAGACGAAACCACCTATAATAGCAAACACAGCTCCTATGGATAAAACATAAGGAAATGAGCGACTACGTAGTATGTATCGTGGAGAACAATATTGAGGGATGAGTTGGATAGTACAATTCCAGTTAATCCTCCAACTGTAAATAGGAAAATAAATCCTAGAGCTCATAGTATGGTTGGGGATCATTTGATATTTCCTCCATGCAGTATAGCTAGTCAGCTGAAGACTTTTATCCCTGTTGGAATAGCAATGATTATAGTTGCGATGTAAAATAAGCTCGTGTATCTATGTCTATTCCTACTGTGAATATGTGATGTGCTCATATGATAAATATTACATGTTAACTATGTGCCTGCTTTTGACCTTGTTAACCTTGTTGATATGGATCTCTGATGGGTGGAAATGTGCCTTCTTTAAAATACCTTACAGATTGGTGAGAGCTAGACATGACATGTAGTTAGTCAGAGAATCTTGCATCATGGAAACATGTAGAAACATGTGGAAACATATAGAAGAGTTTCCAGTGTGAGAGTGGCAATGTGTTATTTTTCCTTCATGAGTTAATATGTTGTGGAAATAAAGGATTTAAACGTGTTTATATTTGATTAAGCTTTTTACCTAACTTGAGAGTACAGAAATGAGTGGGTATGTTTCTAGCCACGCTGGAATCCAATTTATATATATATATATATATATATATATATGTATGTATATGTATATATATGTATATATGAATATATATTTTTTCCAGTACTAAGGTTTGATTTCAAGCAGTAAAGTAGTCACTTTACTGCTGAGATACATCTTCTGTCCTCCTCCCCACTCCCACTGGTTGTTTTTGAGATAGGATCATGCTTCCTGCTCAGGTGTGTATCTGGACACCTGTCTGTCTGCCTGTTTTAGGTAGGTAGGATGACAGCCATCACACCTAGGTTCTTTCATTGAGATGGAATATTTCATATATATATATATATATATTTTTTTTTTTTTTGCCTAAGCTTGCCTTGTACTATGATCCTACCAATCTCAGCCTTACAGGTAGCTAGGATCATAGTGAGTACCGTGTGTGTGTGTGTGTGTGTGTGTGTGTGTGTGTGTGTGTGTGTGTGAGATGATACTGGAGATCACTATAGAAAAATAACTGTCTCTTTTGGGTAAAGAGTAAAGCAGAGGGAATTTTATTACCGTGCCATTGAAATGAAACTGTTGGGGAAATTTCTTGTTATCTATTGATTTCTCAGGGTCAAATAAAAACTCAGTTTTAGTTTGGCGATGTGAGACCCTGTTTTGATTTTGTATCCTTTTGTGATTATCTGTCTGCCTTCCTACCTACCTACTACCTGTGCCTTACTGAGGCTTAAACCCAGGGTACTGTGTGTGTGCCTCTACTACTGAACTAAATTCTTTAATCCTTTAAAGATGTTTTCTTTTGAGATAGGCTCTCACTAAATTGCATAAAGCAGGCCTTGAACTTGTGTATTATATATAATATACATAATAATATGTTTATGTTATATATATATATATATATATATATATATATATATGAGACAAAGGAAATATATACCAAGGGCATTGCAAATAATGTCTGGGAGCCCTAGGAACAGTTAGCAGAACACATGTAGCTAAGGCTTGGAAGAACTTGGAGTTGTTAGGGGAGCTTCAACTAGTTTGTATTGGCTCCTTCCGATCTGCTTCATGCCAGCATGTGTCCTAAGGTACCTAAGGCTTACAGATGTCAAGCATGGCCGTTCTGTTGACCTGTCTTTTATTTTAAAGAGTATCTTTCAGGAGACGGGGACATGGCTCAAATTGTGGAGAATCCTGAGTTCACCTCCCAGTACTGCCTAAATTTTTAAAAAAAATTTTGCTTTAGAGATTAGAATGAGGATGGAGAGATATTTCCTTGATATATTTTATAGTACTAGATGAGTGCAAAAGTTGGGAGGTGAGGCTAGCTTAGAGCTATAGATGACTGAGTCAGTGGTAATGATGTAAAATTTGTTTCTGTATAGAGGTGAAGACAGTTGGAATGAATTTCTGTGAGAGGGAAGACAGGACTGTAGATTTGAATTCTTATGAAGTAAAGAATTTGGGGAAAAAAATCCCAACAAGTTTATAGGGATCAAACCATGAGGAGAAGTCTTGAAGAACAAAGCTGAAATGCTGAGAGGCAGGATGGGAAACAGAGAAGTGTGGGATGATTTCTGAGTGGAGAAAAATTCATAATGGAGAGATTATTTTTTCAGAGAGGAAGAGGATAACCTGAACAAATAACAAATACCTGGAGGACATGAACATAAAAGTTCATTGTGAACTGGCTTTCGTTGTGGTGAATTAGAAGGCCAAGCAAATATTTTTGCTTGGGAGGAGGAATAAAGGATGCTAAATGATGACATTTTATTGACTGCTTCCTATGGACCAGATGCTATTTAACTATTTTACTTGAATTGTGTATTTTTACCTCAGTACAAGTCCCTTGAAAACATTATAATTACATTTTGTAGATAAATTACATTTTGTAGAGGTTTGAACTGAAGCTTTAAACTGAAGCATGGCTCTTAGCAAGGCCTCAGTCAAAACTTGTAGTTTACTATGATCAAAAGACAAACTTACAAAGAACTTAGTGATCTTAATTAGCTTTATTTGTAATTCAAGAATCACACTTCATTTCATAAAATAAGTAAGTATTCTGATGGGCTTAGCAAAAGAGATTAGTTTTATAGACAAAGGCTGAAGAATGCAGAAAAATTTCAAGGTTACACTCCTCCTGAGATATAGGGACAGAAATAACAGTAGAAAAATAATTCTCTTTTGGATAAAGAGTAGAGCAGGGGGAATTTTATTACCATGCCATTGAAATGAAACTGTTAGGGAAGTTTCTTGTTATCTTTTCATTTCTCAGAGTTAAATAAAAGCTCAGTTTCAGTTTGGTGATGTGAGACTCTGTTTTGATTTTTAGTTAGTCTGTTGAGGTCCAGTGCAGGGACCAATCCCAAAACAATGGCCTCCTACAATTTTTATTGAATACTATCACAGGGAGAGCAAGGAGATTAGGATTCACTCTGTCCTTTGTTCACATTGGCTGTCTATCTCTGATTGAATAAAATAACTTATTTTTTTTTATTTTCTAGGGGCCAGATGATATCTGCTGAAGATTGTGAATTTATTCAAAGATTTGAAATGAAAAGAAGTCCTGAAGAAAAGCAAGAGATGCTTCAAACTGAAGGCAGCCAGGTGATCCACACAGATATTTTGTTGTGATGCATACTTGCAAAGCCATTCTAGAAAGGGTTGAAAAGATAGCTGAGTAGTTGAGTGCCCGATAAGAATGCACAAAGTCCTGTATCCTGTGTTTAACCTTCAGTATAAAAATAATAATCACAGAAAAACTTAATGACTATATGACATTACAATGTAGGTATGCAATTGTGTGTGTGTGTGTGTGTGTGTGTGTGTGTGAGAGAGAGAGAGAGAGAGAGAGAGAGAGAGAGAAAGAGAGAGAGAGACTGGAGATCAACTCAAGGGTTTACATATGCCAGATAGGGTTTGTACTGCTGAACTCCACAGAAAGTGTTTTATTATTTTCAGTTTTCTTTGTTAATTTGGGGGACAAATGTTTTATTGGGTGTTTATTTTTGTATCCTTTTTTGACTATCTGTTTATCTATCTGCCTGTCTACCTACCTACCTACCTATCTACCTATGCTGTACTGAGGTTTAAACTCGGGGTACTGTGTGTGCCTCTACTATTGAACTAAATTCCTTTTTTTTTTTTGAACTAAATTCTTTAACCCTTTAAAAATGTTTTATTTTGAGATAGGCTCTCACTAAATTGCCTAAGGTAGGCCTTGAACTTGTGATCATTTTGCCCTGGTTTTGCCTCCATATCAGGGTCTTTTCTACATTTAAAAACATACAAAATTTAGACCTTGTTAGAAGGATTTCTAAGGGGAATCTACTATTTCAAAATATATGGAGTTCTAAAACTAGCTTTTCCTTTCCTTTCCTCTCCCCTCCTTCCTTCCCTCCTTCCTTTCTTCCCTACCTTCTTTCCTTCTGCCTTTCCCTTTTTATTGGTTCCTGGGGCTTGATCTTAGGGCCTGGGTTCTGTTCCTGAGCCTTTTAACTCAAGGGTATGGCTTTATCATTTGAACAACAGCTCCACTTCTGGCATTTTTGGTGGTTAATTGGAGATAAGCATCTCCTGTACTTCCTGCTGGGGCTGGCTTTGAACTTTAGTCTTCAGATCTTAGTCTCCTGAGTAGCTAGGAGTACAGGCATGAGCTACCAGTGCCCAGCAATATTTTTCTACTCCATATTCTTAATAGTTATATTTGAAATACCTAAAATAATTAAATATTTGAATTTATAGGGTCTATTCATGAAATTGTATTTTAATAATTGACTTATTAAGTTTTGGTACCTCTTTTAAAGTATATAAAGATTTTGAATTTATAAGATTTTTGCACTTCTTGATTGACCAATACTGCTTCTGTGTGTATGTTTGTGTATTTGTGTATGTATGTATATGTGCATGTGTGTATGCATGCTCTAGGTATTCAACACAAGACTATGTGCCTGCTAGGCATGGCTTTACTACTTATTCAGAAAAATCTATTAACAAAAAGTCTATTAACATTTGCCATATTGGTACCAAACATGGTTTTCTTATTACCTTTGAATTGCTTTGGAGTTCTTTAATATACAATAGTTTGTGTTTGTATAGTTACATATATTGATATTTTACTTTCTCTTGTGATTTGTTTGTTGTATAAAAATAAAATGCTATTAAGTCAGAAAGAGAAAATAAGCATTGGTTTGCTTGATAGTTTCCTGTTTAAGATGGAACCTGTGGCTTAGTGGTAGAGTGCTTGCCTTGCATGCATGAAGCCCTGGGTTCGATTCCTCAGCACCACATAAGCAGAAAAAGCCAGAAGTGTTCACTGTGACTCAAATGGTAGAGGCTTGCTTTGAGCTGAAGAGCTGAGGGACAGTACCTAGGCCCAGAGTTCAGGCCCCATGACCGCTGTTGACAATATGCCTATGGCTTTTAAAAATTATTGGGTAGTTTTCCATTTAGTGAAAATGTAGTTTTCCATGTACAGCCATATTTTTTTTTAGAGTTCTTTTTTTTAAAATTTATTTTATTTGTGAACATACTGTACAGAGGGGTTACAATTACATGGGCAGGATAATGCGTACATCTCTTACCAAGCATTGCAGCCTCCTCCTTTGTTTATCCTTCACATCCCTTCCCAGCCTCCCTCCTCCCCCCCAGTCCCAATCCTTCCCCCCCACCCCCCCCCACCAACATTGTAAAGCTCGTTTTCGACATGACAACTTGTACTTCTCATTGTTGCAACAGGTCCACCTGTATCCTTAAACTACTTGTTTTTCCCCATCTCCTCCACAAGTTATACTGACATCAAATATAGTGAAAGCAGGGGTTATACTGTGGGGGAGGGACATACAAAGCAACAAAGAAATAATCTTATAAATGCGTTAGAAACACATGCATGAAAGAAAAAAACATTAAAATACATATCTAAGGGTTCATTTTCCTAACATCACATTATCTGACCTTTTCCGCTTGACTCATACATATACTAGATATTACAGCCATATGTTTTAAACCATATTTCCCCACATATCTTAGTAACTTTCATTTTTTCCCTCTGTATTGAGGTCAACGTTTTTAATTATTTCCTCATTATAAGTTCTAGGATGTGATTGTTGGTCAAACAACTTGCTGTCTATAAGGGTTTTTATACATATCATAAAAATGCTCTCTTGATAATTGACCAATTTGTAATGCCTGTCAGCAATATGTGGGTATGTCCACATTCACCAGGAACATGGACATGCCCACAGAGTACCCACCAGGGTCCTGGATATCTGGGCCCCTAGGTACTAGTACCTACTTTGGATCAGTTGTGGGGCTTGATCTCAGGGCTTGGGAGCTGTACCTGAGCTCTTTTGCTCAAGGCTAGTGCTCCACCACTGTGAGCCACAGCTCTTCTTCCTTCTAGTTTTCTGGTGGTTAATCTGATCTAAGAGTCCCCTGGTCTTTCTTGCTCAGGCTACCTTTGAACTGCCAGCCATCTTCAGATTTCAGCCTCCTGAGTACTAGGATTATAGGCATGAGTCACCAGTGCCCTGCTATTATTGCATTCTTGTCATTTTGATAGGTGAGATGGTATCTTAGTACAATAGTGTAACACATTTTAAAGTGGATTTTGGTCTTTTTTTTTCCCTCTGGGTGGTTGCATCTCATATTCTTTACTGTTATATAGAAACGTGTATATACTTAATTGATTTGTCAGATTCCTTTATGTGATAAATATATTAGTTCTGTGTATGCCCTTGTTTCCAGCTCGTTTGGTGAATTTTAAACTTGGTTAAATGGTACATTAATGAAGTTTTAATTGTGCCATTAAACTTACTCCCTTCCTCCTTTGTGGTGCTAGCTGTGGATATGTCATCCTTTGAGAAAGCTTCCCTGTCCCAGATGCATGTGCATCAGATGCATGTTTATTCAGCATGTGGGTACTGAGGCCCCGTTAAGCACACAATTAGACTGGGGAAAATGTGTTAGTAAAGTTGTTAGTAAGTGAAGGCTCTTTCCTTCAGGAATTAAACTATAGGCTCTTTCTTAATTGCAGTATCTATGTGATGGATCTTTTATGGATTATGCCAGGAAATAAGCATTTGTTTTATTCAAACAAATTGACAGTATACCTGAAAAGCTAAAATAGAAATGCTGAGGGTAATTCATACTTTGTTTTGTGAAAAAGAGTATAAGTATATTTTAATGTTATTGACTAAAATATCCAATTATTCATTACTTTTAGCTTTCTAAATAATTTGAAGTTTATCATAGGTGTATTTTCTAATTTCTAAAGTTCCACTCTTTAGTATGGTAGGTAGACTGTTCACAGAAGATACAACTCAGATCAGAATGAGTATGAGTTTTGACAAGATATGTACTCCTATAGCATGATCTCGTCAAGACTGATGCTGTACGACTTGAGCCATGCTTCCAGCCCTGGCATGATCTTTGTTACATGCTATTTGCTGCTGTTGAGGATTTACTGAGTGAATCAATACTGAATGAAGTATACTTTAATTTATATGTCCTTACGTGCTTTGAAAGGGTTTTCAGATCATACCTATTATTGAATACAGTTGGATACATCAAACTGTAATTTTGGGATTATTTAGAGAATTTCAGAGAACAGTTTTAATTGTGCTATATTTGATTTTTATACTGATTTTAAACATAAAACCTAGCATAAAGCTAGCTGAGTTTTGCATGGCCTTCTAACAAGATGTAATTCCCTTGCCCACAGATTTTTTGCTGAAGGAGCCTGATAGATTGAAGGAGCCCATATACAATTTGTTCTGATTCTCACAATAGTGTTGGGAAAATTAGAGGCAACTTGTTTGTTGTTGGATGCAGTTTTATTGAGTTCCCAAGAGAGGTCATGTAGTTGATATATTGTAGAATAGAGAGAGATCAGGCCCCTTCTGCTTACAGTCTCTAGTACTCTGGTTCTACTGTTTTGCTTCCCAGTAAGTGTGCGCGCACACACACACACACAAAATAAAATAGTTACTTTTGTCTATATAACTTTGTGCTGTCACAATGGAATTCTATGCCTCCATCAGAAAGAATGACATTGCCCCATTTGTTAGGAAATGGAAAAACTTGGAAAAAATTATATTAAGTGAAGTACCCATGGTTTCCCTTATTTGTAATATCTAGTATATGTATGAGTCAAGCGGAAAAGGTCAGATAATGTGATGTCAGGAAAATGAACCGTTAGATGTGTATTTTAATGTTTTTTTCTTTCATGCATGTGTTTCTAACGCATTTATAAGATTATCTCTTTGTTGCTTTGTATGTCCCTCCCCCACAGTATAACCCCTGCTTTCACTATATTTGATGTCAGTATAACTTGTGGAGGAGATGGGGAAAAACCAGTTGTTTAAGGATACAGGTGGACCTGTTGCAACAATGAGAAGTACAAGTTGTCATGTCGAAAACGAGCTTTACAACATCGGTGCGGGGGGGGGAGGGGGGGAAGGAGAAGGATTGGGATGGGGGGGAAGTTGGGGGAAGGAGAAGGATTGGGATTGGGGGGGAGGGGGGAGGCAGGGAAGGGATGTGAAGGGTAAACAAAGGAGGAGGCTGCAATGCTTGGTAAGAAATGTATGCATTATCCTGCCCATGTAATTGTAACTCCTCTGTACAGCATGTTCACAAATAAAATAAAATTAAAAAAAAATCTTTGTGTTGTCATGAATAATCAAGAGTTGCTTAGTGCCTAGGTGTATCTATTTTAAGCATAGCAAACATTTTGAAGTTTAGCACTAGAAATGATCAAATGATCAAAAATCTGATGAAGTCATATGGTCCTTTATCATGATAATAATTATAAAAGAAATACATTTTCAGTAATTGTGTTTGCTAATTGCATTTGTATCCTCTTTGATGAAAGAGATATTTTACAGAATTTCATTAAAACGGGGTTTGCAACAATTAACATTAATTTCATGTTTTTTTCCTAGTGTGCTAAAACATTTATAAATCTGATGACTCATATCTCCAAAGAACAGACGGTGCAATACATACTAACGATGGTTGATGATATGTTACAGGTAGGTATATTCTTTTTTTTTTTTTTTGGTGCTAGTCCTGGGGTTTAAGCAGGTCCTGAATACTGTCTCAGAGCTTTTGTGTTCAAGGGTGCTCTACCACTTGAGCCACGCTTTACTTTGAAGTACTTCACTGAGGCTGTTCATCCTCCCTCATTGAGTTTCTTTGTTTGGCATGCAGGGTATTCACACATCAAACATTGGTATTGGTAGAGGCATCTGAGTAACTTTAGGAACAGCAGAGAAGTATAGGCAAGAAGTATAATTTCATCCCTTTTTCTTTTTTGGTTGGTTGTGGGGCTTGAAATCTGCCTGGGCGCTTTCCCTGAGCTCTTCAGGTCAAGGGTAGTGTTCTACCTCTGGAGCCACAGTGCCACTTCCAGTTTTCTGAGTGGTTAATTGGAGATAAGTGTCTCATGGACTTTCCTGCCCGGGCTGGCTTTGAACCATGATTCTCAGATCTCAGCCTCCTGAGTAGCTAAGATTAAGGGTGTGAGCCAGCGGCACCTGGCAGTTTCATTACTTTTGATTTAAAGTAATCGTAGTAATTAAACAATTTTGATTTGTAAAATGTCTCTACTACCATCCCTACCCTCTGCCCATAATAATATCAGTGACTGACAAGTAGTATATATACATAAAGTGGAAAAAGAACACACACAGATGATCATAAAATGGAAGGTTGGGAAGCTGTGCACAATCGGTACAGTTCTGTGAGATTAGTAATATAATTTCTTTTCTGTTTAGGAAAATCACCAGCGTGTCAGTATTTTCTTTGATTATGCGAAACGTAGCAAGAGTACTGCATGGCCCTACTTTCTGCCAATGTTGAATCGTCAGGATCCCTTTACTGTTCATATGGTAAATTTTAATCACATTGTGTGTGTGTGTGTGTGTGCGTGTGTGTGTGTGCGTGTGTGTGTGTGCGTGTGTGTGTGTGCGTGTGTGTGTGTATCATATTGTTCAGTAAAGAAAGGACATTGCTTGAGAGTGTCTGGATTGTAGATAACTGTAGATAATTGGGTAATGATGAATGCATTAACATCAAAGTACATGGTGAAGTCATGTATGTAAAGTTCATGGTCATCAATAGGAGGATAAAGCATATTTTACTATGTAGAAATTAAATTTTTCTTTGAAAAGCTACTGAGTTGTTTTAATTAAGTAATGAATTGCCTTTTTGTATCTTAAGCACTTTTGTTTTAAACTTTGTGAGAAGGGCTCTAATGTATGAAGGATCTTTTTTTTGGGCGGGGTGGGGGGGGGTTCTGGTCGTGGGGCCTGAACTCTGGGTCTGGGAACTGTCCCTCAGGTCTTCAGCTCAAGGCTAGCTCTCTTCCACTTGAGCCACAGCACCATTTCCAGCTTTTTTCTTTTTGCTTATGTGGTACTGAGGAATCGAACCCAGGGCCTCACGCATGCAAGGCAAGCGCTGTACCACTGAGCCACCTTCCCAGCCCATGAAGAATCTTTTATGGAGTCCAGAGAACTAAGGAGAGAATAAACCATTGTATAAACAAGCCCTTTTTATTTCCAGTGTAGTGGGATTATGAGCGTGATGTGGAGGGAACAGACAGGAGCTCTGGAGGTTTCTCATTTCAGTGGAAGTCTTTAATTTTTTATGTCAAAGGTCATGGTCTCCAAAATATTTTTGTCCAATCTGTCTTCCTTTTCCTTTCCTCTTTCCCTTGCTCCCCTCTTCTCCTTCCCTCTCTCTTTCTCTTTCTCCTTCCCTTCATGGCCCTCTTCTCTTCCTCTTCATCATCCTTCCTTACATATTTATATTTATATTAATATATATATATATATAGTCGGTCATGGTTGTGGGGCTTCAACTCTGGGCTTGGTCGCTGTCCCTGAGCTCTTCAGCTCAAGGCAAGGGCTCTACTGCTTGAGCCACAGTATCACGTCCGGTTTTCTGGTGGTTAATTGGAGATAAGAGTCTCACAGACTTTTCTTGCCCAGGCTTGCTTTGAACTGTGATCCTCAGATCTCAGCAGTAGCTAGAATTACAGGTGTGAACTACAGGTGCTCAGCTTATTAGTATATTTTTATATCTGATATATTGAAACATTTGTAAAAAGAAATTAAAAAGGAGGACTCATGAAATAAACTGCACATTAATTAAAAAAAATCTCCAGGAATGTATGTTTTGACTATTTGGATGTTCAGATGTTGTCTTCCTAGTGTTATAAAATTAACATATATACAGGTAAGGCAGGGTTTAAATTAAATGTACAGGTGCAGCCAAGTCCTAAGTAACTTTTTTTTTTGTGGTACTGGGAACTGAACCCAGGCTTTGTTGATGCCAGGCAAACTGCGTGCTATTGAGCTGCATTCCCAGCCCTATATTAACTTTTTTATTTTTAATCGGTCATGGGGCTTGAACTCTGGGCCTGGGTGCTGTCCAGAGTATTGGATGGGGGGGGGGGCGCGTAATGTCATAAAGTTTTATTGTGGTAATAGTCACACAACATCAAAAGTACATTACAAACTGCTGAACTACAAATGGATGAGTCTTAGAGCATGTGAAATTTATTTTAATGAAGCTTCTTTTTTGTTTTTTTTTGGTCAGTTATGGGGCTTGAACTCTGGGCTTGGGTGCTGTCCCTGAGCTCTTCAGCTCAAGGCAAGCACTCTACCACTTGAGCCACAGTGCCATTTCTGTTTTTTTGGTGATTAATTGGAGATAAGAGTCTCATGGACTTTCCTGCCCTGGCTGGCTTTGAACTGGGATCCTCAGATCTCAGCCTCCTGAGTAGCTAGGATTACAGGCGTGAGCCACCAGTGCTCCGCATAACTTTTTCATATATAAATGACTTTACCTAATGTGTACTGATAAGGTTTATACTAGCTGTAGAAATGTCAGAGTTATTTATCATTATCTTTTTGTTTATGATAATATTTTCAATCTCTGTGTTCTTAACACGATTCCTTTTAATTCAGTTGTTTATTTTGTGAAGGTTTTTTGATGGTCTTAAGATGAATCCTAAATTTCACTTTTAAAATTCAAAAAGGGAATGTCATGACATTCTTAGAACCCAGCTAGTTTTAGTTTATTTTAAAAGAAGTATTTAAACAGTGCATTTTGAATGTGTTTCAAGATAAGTTAAAAAATTTCTTTTTGCAGGAATTGAGTGTGACAGAAATCATTCAGCAAAGTGGCTACAAGTCCTGGTTTTTAAGGTATGCAAAATGATTTTAAGAATCAATATTATATTCAGATGTTTCTTATTCATTTTTAGGCAGCAAGAATTATTGCCAAATTAGCAGCCTGGGGGAAAGAACTGATGGAAGGTAGTGACTTAAATTACTATTTCAACTGGATAAAAACTCAGCTGAGTTCACAGGTAACATAAATTTCTTTTAGTATTTTTGAAAGGAACATAACATTCATGTTCCTTTAAGCTGTATTGAATTTGATAAATATGCTGAACTACTACTCATGGGTGTGGTTGCATTTGGGCTTTCCTGTTCTTTCTTCAGTTATAATTTAAACCTTGCTGCCTTTTCTGCACTTGGGTTTCCTGTTCTTGTTTTTCAGTGGTAAGGGAAAGTTTTCCTTCTAGGTGGCTGCTGAGATTATATAGCTTGGAGAAATGAAAGGATCTACAGAACAACAATAAGCTGCCCCCATGAGGCTCCTGATATAGGAAGAGAAGTGGTCCAGCAGGAGAGAGTGGCCTGGCCAGCTCTAGGACAAGAGGCTTCAGGCACACTTCTCCATCTGTCTCAGGAATCTGAACCAACAAGATTTGTCTGAGAAATATTGGTTTCTTGGAGAGCTCTCAAAGTTTTTAATGAGGTCTGGTCATTTAACCAGGCTAAGCTGTTCAGCTGGTTGTGCCAGTAAACAAACTGGTCTTGAGTGCTGCCATGGGAATGTCCAAGTACATGCAGAACATTATAGATCAATAGTGAATATGCTTGTCTTTTTCTTGACCAAGTGTCTGTTCCAGGTTTCCAGGTATCCCTGAGTAAGACTGGGCTCGTTCAGTCCAACTGTGAGATGATGAATGAGTAGTGGCTCATTCTCCACAGTGTCCCAGTGTGATCATGGCATTCAGCAGCTAAGCCCAAATTGAGACATGGTATCTACTTATTGATGGTTTTGGTTGCTTTTAGGTTTCTCTAGCTCTGCTTTTCCATGGAAGAAGATAACTGTTTAGGAACCTAACAAATTTTTTTTATTTTTTCCTTATGGTTGCTTAAAATAGGGCAAAAGATGGGGCATTTGAGATGGTCCTTCAGGGTGTTTCTTTTAGGCTTCCAGCAACTGTTATGTGAGGGTAGATGCTTGGTGAGAATATACTCAGAAAAGGAGAGAAAGGGAGGTGAGTGGAGAAGAGTATTCTGGGGATAGAAAAGGTACAAGAGAATGAGATTTTGCTGTGGAGGTTGTGATGTGGGAGAATAACAACAGGAGAAATAATATTGATACTTATAGTACTGTATTAATAATATTTAATTTTTTGGAAAGTTTAATTTTTAATTAAGGCAACGAATAGTAGATTTTAATTTGAAGAATTGGAAAGATGCCGTGATATTTTGCTTAGGTTCACTTTTTGTCTTATTATTGCATGCTTTTTTGGGGCTAATTGCCTTTTTTTTTTTTTTTTTGGTACCAGTACTCAGAGCCTAGGTCCTGTCAGCCTTTTTTTTTTTTCTCAAGACTGGCACTTTACCACTTGTGTCACAGCTTCACTTCCAGCTAGTAATAGTTATTTGGAGATAGGAGTTTCATGGACTATCCTGGCTGGGCTGGCTTCAAATTGGGATCCTCAGATCTCAGCTCCCTGAGTAGCTAGCATTACAGGTGTGAGCCACTTATGCCTAGCTCGCTAATTTCCTTTTATGTTTGGATAAAGGTATTTTGGAGTGAATTTATTAATTTGAATGGAATTAAAATTTTAAAATGTCAATAGAATCAATTTTAACTTCTTATTGACTCAATTCTATAAAGTGTTTTTATAAGAACCATCTGTTTGCAGATTTTACTGAGTTTGGAAGGTATGTAAAATATGAAAAATAGGTGTGTGAAAATGAGATTTTAAGTCTCTAATAAATGTATGTCCCTTGGAATCAGAATGCTTAATTAATTAGGAAATACTCCCTTTCCCTTTTGATCTGTTTTAAAACTATCTGTCCTTTTCAATAAACCCCATTTTATTTTACTGTTATTTTTCTGGTTGGGCTCAGATGTAGCTGAACTCATACAATGAAAACTGGTAGGGAAGAGACTACTATAGTAGGAGCACTGTCTTTTTGGGTAGTTTCACTGTAGCTTTTCCTCATGGCAGTGTCATTTGTCTTGTGCCTCAGATGATTTGTCATTCCTAAATGATTAACATGTGTTTCATGCTCACATGATGGTAACAATGTCCAGTAAGTGGGGGAAAATATTTCTCTCATTACTAGTGGTAGGTAGGAAGTATTGCAGTGTCTAGAACAGCCTTCATCAGAATCAAACTACTTTGTATTAGATAAATGCTTTCTAAGACCTTTTCCGCATTTCTCTTAGTGCACTGTTTTTAACCACAGTCTTTGGCTTTTATTTGTGCAGTAGTGTTTCTGCTTTGCAAGGCCTTCTATTTCAAGGTGCTTCTTCAGGGTACAGGCAGTCTGTCCTTGCTTCTGAGTTTGAGCACTGCTTCTGCTTGGCTCTCTGATCTTGTTCTCTCCTTTGCCCTGAACAGAAACTTCTTCCATGGTTAAGTTTTAGAACTTATTTATTTTTGTGCCAGTACTGGGGCTTGAACTTAGAACTTAGAGCTCTTGCTTGGCTTTCTTGCTTCTAGCTGTCCCTTTACCACTTGAACTATACCTCTACTTTCGAGGTTTTATTTTCTGCATCAGTCAAATGTTGTGTAATAGTGCTGTATGAGGAAAGTCTCCTTTACCATAAATGCTTTCTCCTTCATGTAAAAGGATTCATGATTCTGGTAGAATTAAACTTTGAAAATCCTAAGTTTTGCAATTTTGGGTATTTTGTGTTCTTTTATGTTATTGTGGCAAATTTTGGAAGATAGCTACTTTATTATCCACTAAGTGCCTGGCAATTCAATGACTGTACTTAATAGTTACTGCATAAAACAAAGTACACATTTTCTTTTAGAAATTCATTATCACTTTTCTCTTGCACATTCAGCCTTTGAATTTCTACCATATATTTTCTTCAGTCATTTCTATATAACATTTAATTTTCATGATAACCTGTTAGCTTTGTTATGCATCACCAGATTTTAAGTTCATATAGTATCTTCCTCTTTTTTTTTTTTTTTTTTGGGTCTGGTCGTGGGGCCTGAACTCTGGGCCTGGGCACTGTCCCTCAGCTCTTCAGCTCAAGGCTAGCGCTCTACCACTTGAGCCACAGCGCCACTTCCGGCTTTTTTCTTTTTGCTTATGTGGTGCTGAGGAATTGAACCCAGGGCCTCAGGCATGCAAGGCAAGCGCTCTACCACTGAGCCACCTTCCTAGCCCTAGTATCTTCCTCTTATCAGGCACCTATTTCACAAAGTTTTGCCACAGAATATAACGTAGATAGTCAGTATATGCCAGTCTTCTGAAAAGTAGTTACTAAATCCTGAGGGAAATTTTTGCTAGTTTCACTTGTGAAACTTAGCCAGAGCTTAACGTTCAGTTTATAATGTTTTTACTAGTCTCTTGATTAATGTATTATCTGGAAGAGTATAATGACAGAATATTTTATATCTTCATGCTTTTTGTAAAGTAGAATTAGTGAAAAATTGTGAAAGAATAGCAAAGTGTAAAATTCACTTTGCCCTTTTTTGGGTAAGCTGGTAAATTAGGGCAAAATTAAAAACAAAACTAAGTAATAAGTCATTTATTTTGCAATAGAAACTGCGTGGTAGCGGTGTTGCTGTTGAAACAGGAACAGCCTCTTCAAATGATGTAAGTACATCCCTGCTTAATTCACCAGCTTCCTAACACCCAGAAATACAGTATTTTGATTCTCAGCCATTTATAGTTTTGAAAGTGTTTGCCAAAATGTAAACCCATGGTGTTGATACGTTATCTGTCTCCAGTCAGTATAATTGTATTGAAAAACTATACACAGATATATGTGGTCTCTAGTGATTGTTTTTTCCCCCCCTGTGGGAGACTTGAAACTTGTCCTTCCTTGTTTCTGTTTTTTTTTCCCCCATTTTAGATCTGAGAGTCAAAGCAAGAATCTGAATTCAAATGCAGGATTGGAGTAAATAATCATTAGGCTATTGTCCTTATACTTCATTTGTCTTATAAACTACAAAAGAGTACCAGTGAATTAAAACTTGGTAGGAATTCAGCTAACTGATGGCCCTAAACACACCCTGTGCTGTGCTGCTCAGGGATTGTGTGGACCCCACCTCCTTCTTCATCCCATCGTCTTTTCTTCGTGCTGGAACTGGGGCTTGAACTCAGGTCCTGGGCACTGGTCCCTTGTCTTTTCTGCTCAAAGCTAGCATTCTCCCACTTGAGCCACAGCTCTACTTCTGGCTTTTTGGGAGCTAATTGGGGAGTGAGTATCTCATTGATTTTCTTGCCCAGTCTTGCCTCCAATTGTGATCCTCATGTCTCAGTGTTTTGAGAAGCTAGGATTATAGGCATGAGTCAACAGTGCCTGGATTTTCTTCCAGTCTTTACTCACATTTGTATGGAGCTTTGAGCTTACAAGTTAAGATAAATTATAGTCCTCTATGTTCCTTTCTTGGCTAATACTATTTTTCTCAGTTTGGACTGGTTTAACTTTATGCTCTAAGGAATCTACTTTAAGCCTAAGAACTAGACACCATTTAGACAAGTAAGGATGGGCATGATTTGGGACCAACTGAGGTAAAAAAAAATACAGGTGCATTGAGCTTTAATAAAGTTGGGAATACCTCTGGAATGCAGAGCTTCTACATGCCACCTAATGTAGATATAAATAAAGTTCTGATGAAACCATCTAATCTTTATATTGATTGCTGTAGCTTTCTTCCAAAATTGGAATGAGTAAGACTGAAAATAACCATGGAATTCATTTTCAAAGCCAGGAGCTGAGACCCCACTGGGGCATGGATTGAAAGGATTGACAGTCGTGTTAGGCCAGAAAAAGTGAATCTAAGATCAAAAAAAGGGAGTCAGAACAAGTTTTCAAACTAGAAGTACCATGGTAGAGAGAGGAAGTGGTATATAGGAAGTCCAGTTGTTCAGTCCTAGCGTGCGCGCGCGCGTGTGTGTGTGCACGCGCGCATGCACGCACGTGAACACACACATTTATATTTGGAGTCTTCATATTTTGTGATTTGTATTTCTACCAGTTTTAAATTTGCAAAATTGTTTAGCATATGTTTTAGACATATTGGTTTATTTCTAACACAAGATATTTTCAGAATCATTTGCCTTATTTTAGTGTTTTTTTTTTAAAGGTGTTTGTAAGTTAAAGCTAACATAAGGAAGTATAAGCTCTGCTGACCATGAATGCTTATTTTACTCTTTTCTGGAAAAAACAACATGGATTGAGTTGGCTGCTTGTTAGTGTCAGTAGAGTAGTTTCATGCATATAACATTCCAGCTGAGATTAGTATTGTGAGTCAGTTTTCCCCTTTCTTCTCACTAATGTTTCTTTCTTTCTTTTTTTTTTTATTATTTTTTTGGGTCCGGTCAGTTGTGGGGCCTGAACTCTGGGCCTGGGCACTGTCCCTCAGCTCTTCAGCTCAAGGCTAGAGCTCTACCACTTGAGCCACAGTGCCACTTCCGGCTTTTTTTCTTTTTGCTTATGTGGTGCTGAGGAATGGAACCCAGGGCCTCATACATGCAAGGCAAGCGCTCTACCACTGAGCCACCTTCCCAGCCCCGTCACTAATGTTTCTTAAACCTGAACCTAGTCTTTGACTCTTCTCAAAGGGTCTCATTTTTCATACTTGAGGTTAAGAATAGGGCAACAGCCCTTTTTTCAATGCTTGTAGTGAAGAAGTAGCTAGTACTTATTGAGCACTTACTATGTGTCTGACAACTGTTTGTTAGTTTTACTTTTTTTTTTTGCTCGTCCTGGGGCTTAAACTCAGGGTCTGGATACTGCTCCTGAGCTTCTTTTGCTCAAGGCTAGCACTCTACCATTTGAACCACTTTGCTACTTCTGGCTTTTTCTGAGTAGTTTATTGGAGATAAGAGTTTCATGATCTTTCCTGCCCAGCTGGCTTTGAACTGTGATCCTCAGATCTCAGCCTCCTGAGTAGCTAGGATTATAGGCATGAGCCATTGGCTTTCATTTTACCTTTATATCACTTTGAATAGTCACACTTTGTTAAGTATAGGCCATCATTTACCACATTTATGAATAAGCAGTGAAACTGCAGAAAAGAGTACCCAGATTAATTAGTCATATAACTAATAAATAGCAGAAGGTCTAGTGAAGCAAATTGCTCTGTGAGAGGATTGTTCCTGAGAAAATCTAATTTAAATGGATTTTTAGGGATTCGTCAAACCATGAAGGCTGCTCAGTCATTAAAATAAATAATTAGCCTAAATTAATTGTGCAGAGGGATTCTTTGTGATTTTTTCATACATGAAAAACATGAACTTTGGTCAAATTCTCTCCTTTTATGTCTTTTTCTTACAGACATTTTGATATATCAATATCGTGTGTCTTAAAATTCCTTTAGATTTTTGATATGAAAGCAGTTTGGTAAACTTGTATTCCATGGTCTTGCCACTTGATGGCAGTATAAAACAGACAAAAACAGCTGTACACTGCAAAGTAAGACAGTTCAACAGTCCTGTCTTTCAAAATGTCCACAGAAGCATCATCCTAAGTTATGACTAGATCATTGCAACCATTTAATTACATTACACAAACAGAATTTTCTTAAAATATGTTATCTTTAGATAATTGTGAAAATAATAAACAGCATCATATTACATCTTTGCCATCTTTATGGTTCCCAGTTTTAGAATGCGAATTATAATTCTTTTCTTCTGAGGAGACATCATGGCTTGGGAATGGATTGCTGGGCAGATGGCCTGACCAAAGAATGCTGTGATGGCTCATAAACTTTGGAATATTTGGAAAGAATGTGGGTGCTGGATGTGGTATTATATGCCTCAGGCAGAGGCAGGAGAATCTTAAGTTCAGAGTCATCCTGGGCTACATAGCAAGACCCTGTCTTAAATTATATAAAATAAGAAAATCATTTAGCATTTTGCCTGGTATATTAGAAGCACTCACAAAAATTGCTACTATTGGGGGAGGGGAGGGAGGATTTGGGGAAGTGGGGAGGGAAGGGATAGTAGGGGAAGAACAAAGGAGGGGGTAGCAATGCTTGATAGGAAATGTACTCATTACCTTACCCTTTGCACAGTATCCTAACAATAAAAATATATTCAAAATTGCTACTATTAAAAGAGAATTTGGGAAGTTTTCTTTGTTTCTTTTGTCCTCTGTGGACTTTCACCTACACCTGTGTGCAGGTGAGCAAGAGAGCTTCCTTCTGTGGACTTTCACTTTCACCTGTGTGCAGGTGAGCAAGAGAGCTTCCTTCTTTTGTCCTCCTCTTGGCTACTTCTGTGGCAGACCTCTTCTAGCATCAGCTGTTTGTGGATAGACTGTAGACAGTGACTCTAGTTCCTGCAGTAGGCCTCCTGTGATGGTGCAAGGGCCCCATGTCCTGTCCCTGAGGGCAGCCACTAGCTTTGGAGTTGTTGGCAATGTGGCTAGTGTGAGTGACAAAGTAACTTTTCAGTTTAAGTTTCTTTTTAAAGCTTTATTCAGCTGGGTGCTGGTGGCTCACACCTGTAATCCTAGTTACTCAGGAGGCTGAGATATGAGGATTGCTGTTCAAAGTTAGCTCAGGCAAGGAAAGTCCATGAGACCCTTATCTCCAATTAACCACCAGAAAACTGGAAGTGGCACTGTGGCTCAAGTGGTAGAGCACTTGCCTTGAGCTAAAGAGCTCAGGGACAGCATCCAGGCCCAGAGTTCAAGCCCCATGACTGACAAAAAAAAAAAAGCTTCATTAAAATATATTTCACAAGATATAAGATTCATCCATTTGTAGTTCAGCAGTTTGTAATGTACTTTTTTTTTATTGTGAAAATACCATACTGAGGGGTTACAATTACATGGGCAAGGTAATGAGTACATTTCTTATCAAGTATTGTTGCTTCCTCCTATCCCTTCCCATCTCCCCCCCTCCCCCACTCTCCCTTTTCCACCTCTTCTCACCCCCCACCCCTTGGCCAAAGTTTTAAAGTTCGTTTTTCCACATAATGTCTTGTACATCTCATTGTTGCAATGGGTCCACCTGTATCCCTATTTAAACAATTTGTTTTTACCCTTCCCCTCCACAAATTAGACCAACATGAAATACAGTGAAAACAGGGGTCAGATAAGTTGATGTTAGGCAAAAGGATAAGTACTCAAATGTTTTTTCTTTCTTGCGATTGTTTCTAATATATTTATAAAATGATTTCTTTGTTGCTTTGTCCCTCCACCACAGTATAAGCCCTGTTTTCACTGTATTTGATGTTGTAATGTACTTTTGAAGTTGTGTGACTATTCCCACAAGCAAACTTTATGACATTTCAGTACCTCCTCTCCCTCCCCCCCCCCCACTACTCTCTCTGCATCAAAAGTCTTCCCCATGCCTGCTCTCCTCTCTCAGGCAATGGAAGCAGTTACCCATTTTTGTCTCTGTATCATCTATTCATTTGTAGAAATAAAACTGCTGCATAGTTTTCTGTGACAGGCTTCTTTCACTCTTTGTAATGTTTTCAAATTTCATCCATGTCTGCATATGCAGTGACAGCAAATTCCAATGAAATTTTTTTTTTGCTTTTGGACATATTAAGTTGTTTTCTGTGGCATTTCTAATACCTTTGTTGATGGAGGTTGGTTTTCTGCTTTGTCTTGATTTTTAGTTTAATGCCTCAGA